GCTCATGGACATTGTTGATCTCCTACTACCTGTAAGTTCAAGATGCTCTTGAAGATATTCACGCTCGTCTGAAGTGGAATTCACTAACCGAATCAGACGGCCAAGATTCTCAAATATTTGAAGTACGAAACGAGCTGCAACATCGCTTTTGTTGTGTTCATGGTTACGTGGTTGATCACTCGTCATGTCTACTACCCGAAACTCTGTTGGTCGATTTACAAGGACGTCCCTGCCAAGATGTCTTACGGATGTTACTCAGGTACTACTGCGGAGATGATTTCCACCAATGGCTACCCGAGCGCATGGTCGTATCTGGTCTCTCCCTTCAAGGATCTCAACGGACCGATTTGCATGAACCGCACCGTCAAATGGGTCTTTCTTTCCTGCCTTCTGGCACTGCAGCTGCTTTCCCTCATCTGGTTTACCATGGTAATTCGCGTGGCCGTTGGGGTCATCCGCACCGGCAATGCTGAGGAACCTCGCAGCGACGACGAAGGAGAGGAAGAGGAAGAGTACTTTGCTGAAAAGGATAGCCTCAATGGGTCCACGCATGCGATTGACAGCTCCAATGTTGACTGGCGTCGAGCCAATGGTTCCTCGGCTGTGCGGCCTCGGCGAGTTCGCCTTGGAGACCAAAGCGATCGCAAGGCACTTCTAGGCCGCATTGGCTGCGACAAGCCCACGTAATCTGCCCACGCTCTTTACCTTTTTTTCTTTTCTTATTCGCCTTTCTTTTATGACGATATCACGGATATGGATACGGACATGCTGATATGCCAGTATCAACGACAATGCCAAAAAGTCTCATTACAGATTATATGAAAGAAGTGAATAAACACAGGGAGGAACAGGTTGGAATGCACCTCCAAAAGTCCTACTGCCTAACGCTGTTCACCTTTGCATTGGCAGGTTCCATTTTTTGATTTCTATCTTTATTATTCCTTTTATCCATCTCCATCTTCGCGCTCGATACCATTGACTTCGGTGATTGTGGTTATATTATGTTGCCTTGCCTTGCGTGCTATGTACTGCTTGTCCGATTGGTTTGTTCCTTTTATGTTAAGAAAAGAAGATTCCAAATTTGCATCATGATAAGACTTTTCTTATCTCTTTCAGATGCCTTGTGGGACGGCTGCTATTCCTATTTCCGTACATGCTCTTTACTTTTCTTTCGAGTTTATCCCAGGGTGATTTTATCCTGATTGATATGCGCAGGATGGATGCGATCTCACACATCCTGGCTTCATGTGATTGTTGCTTTTGCACCTATGATTAGATAGACACTTCGCCTTCGCTCGTCACATAGACAGAGGCCGTGGTTTACTCTGCATGTAGCCCCATCAAACAATTTTAACCCTTTTCGAATCGAGACTGTAATTCTGGATATTTTCATATCGTGTATATAATGTGAGCGAAAGGTGAACAGCCGACTACCGGATGCCTGCGGGATCGTCTTCTCATGGAAGACATTTTACCAGCAGGCTCCTTCCTACAAAAGCCCCGTGTATAGAAGTGCTCGTCATGGCTTGTTTGTCAATAGCCAATGAATTTCCTTGTATACGAGATCAATTAATTGCCAGTCTATAGTAGCACTCGATCCGTATCCATCCTAGCCCAGGTCCATCCCATTGTCTCATCCATCATAAGTCGTGAAAGGTAAGATTAGCTTAAATGGAAATCGAAAGCGAGCCCCCAAAGCGAGATATTTGCTCCGCTAGTGATAATCTGAAGTGGGGTTGTCATGCACGAAGACGAAAAGCAGAAATCGCAAACGATTTTTACGTGAAAACAAGTACATTAATGTCTTCGATACTAGTGGACGTGGAGGTGACAGACGGCAGATTGAGTTCGAGAATATCTTCACGCATTTGTGCTTCATTCCAGAAGTAGTCCGAATGAGTCTGGTAGCTAAGTCGCTTCCGCGCGCGAGCCACGTGTGCTTCGGCATCAATTTCATCGGAACCCAGCGCGCATTCTTGCTGTGTGACGATGAAGTCAATCAGTACTTGGCGAACTCGGTCCCAAATGGTTCCGTGGCGTTTCCATTCGAGTCGTTTAGCGATTCGGACCATCCGCGAGACAATCCAACATCGATCTCCAGTGTCACCTGGTCTATTCTTGGGATAACCGCCGTTGTTGAGGAATAGCCAAAGGACTGAAGTAATGCTGGGGTTTGTGAAAGGATTGAGGTTGCGGACTTCAAGGCTAAGCCAGTCGAGATAATCGTCCAGGTTATGAGAGTTCAGGTAGCAGTCGTACAATGCGACGGCGAGGAAGAAGAGGCAGGACATGCAGGTATATTCGTCGATGAAGCGGATGTCTCGAATCCCGTGGTCATAGTCCGGCAACATTGTCAAGATTGAGTAGAGTTGGGTTCCAGGACGAAAGTGCTTTGTTCGACGGGGAAAGATCTCTGGTACGACGGTATAAGGAGAGTTCAAGCATAAGCCCTCCAATTCGCGAAGGCGACGAAAGAACCGTAAGAAATCTTCGCATGCCCTGAATTGTGCACAGAGACTTTCGGCATCCTCTGAGGTAGTAGCGTCATGAGGGACAGCAAGGTGTAAATTGGGGTCCAAGAAGTCGAGAGGAGGGGTTGTATCAGGACTAGTCCCTGTCCAAGGTAGCGAGGTGCTGATGATCGCCTTAGGGGCGCAACTAAAGTCCACCCTAGGTCCTGTCAGCACCAGACGGACATCAAAGGGCATACGTATAGATTACCAGTAAAGCACTTTCTCCAGGAAAGGACTAGTGAGTCGCATGCCGTGCATTCCGCCTCGATTCCTGATCATCGACGATAATCCGCGGAAATGCATTCGCTCAATAGATGCATCCTTGGACCATTTCTCCGAGGTTGTTAGTCATTTGCATGCACAATGGGGTGCCACAGGTCACGGTACCTCGATGACAGCCATTGTGGCAACAGCATAGATAGTCCCGTCATGCCGCCCAGTTGCATCCCCTTGAATACGCTCCTTCATGAGCCTCAGTGCTCGCATTTTATGAGTCAGGCTCTGCACAGATTCTGCCTTTCCCTCAACACCGGCACGATGCTTGGACGCAATGGCAAGCATAGCCTGAAAGGGAAGACCGTCATGGAGCGCTATCTGCCGGAAAATCTCCATCATCGGATTATTCGCGATAGAGTCGGCGAATTTATACATCATGGATGGATAGGTCACGACGACTTGGCCAAGTTAGCCCCCGTCCGGCACTTATCGGCTTTCATTTCAGGTGAAGATCTTGCGTTGCACCGCGGTTCCAAGCGACATGCGAACGAATCTTACCACTTACAGTGTTGAATCAGTTCATGATCCGCATGGCTAATAGCAATTGGATAGCAGCTGAAAGGGTCTCGAACGGCCCCTTCCCCTGGGCTAGCTAGAGGATTAGATGCCCCAGGCTTTGTGGCCGGATGCAAAGAGGCATCTTCGCGTTTGACCTTGTGCAGTTTCGGAATGAGCAAACGCGAGGAGCTCTTGGGCTTTTCCGGCGTCTTTTTATCCTCATCGCTGCTTGGGGACGATGCCTTCTCTGACTTGACAGTCAGATCCTCTTGAGCATCGTTCTTCAGGGCCCCTGTTTGAGAGGACGAAGCCGAGGGCTGAAAGTCGGGAGGAGAGCGGGTAGACCAACCACCTCCCGGTACGCGAGCCGTCCCTAGACGAGCGATACTGTCCAAGCGCCGTTGATGCATATACTGGCGCATAGCATGACGTCGGACCTGGCGCCGAGATTCATTGTCGGTCACTAGCACAAACTCGAAGTTCCTTGATCCGGCTTGATGGGCCGATCCGTTCGATTGCTGGTCTCCGGAGGAAGTACTCGTCTGGTCCGCCGCATGACTACTCGAGACTTGAGGGGCTGCTGGTGGATCCAAGTCATTCACATTCTGAAGCTGAAATTCTAGTATCCTATTTTGCCCAGGTTGCCGATGTCCCTCCTCACCCATGATCTCATGATTTGCCCTGGATGAGTAAGTCAAATCAGACTCAACAGGCAAGCTTGGCTGGGTGAGTGGTCAAGTGGGGACTGGGGGGGGGGGGGAATGGGGTGGAGGGTCTTTGCTGCAGCTATGCTCAGTGGAGAATGCTTGGTAGCTTCTGCTCAATCGGAAGGACACATTCACAGCACGAATGCTATCTCTATCACTAGCACGAGAATAATAATAATAATAATAATAACAACAATAATAGGGCTGTGGCCTTTGAACAAGAGAATGTCGTTGACTCGTTGGACTGTCAAACTCCAATGTTCGCTGTCAGCCCGATTTCCCCTTTCGGCTCTAGGCCCCACCGCTCGGGCCCCACGTGACAGCGTCCCATGCGGCTGACTCAGCGAGATTTCCTGTCCATCCGGTACACTACAGTACTTTTCTCGAAGGAAGTAAGAGGCCAACAATCCCGAGTCCATAAGTCTGCCAATTTGTCTGTCCACTTGTGTTGAAGGCCTGGAAACTGAGGTCTCGGATCGCTGCAGGCTCGATTAAGTCTCAGCCCCTCCGTTGCGATCGGAGGAGCAGAACCCCCTCAAGTGGATCGCGTGGGAACTGGGAAGACATTCCAGTCCAACCACAGCCAGAAAGCTCCAGTGTGGGTTACGTATGAGGGGAACAAGCAAAGTCTCCACCGACTTGATTTGTCCCGACTCCCGAACTCTCAGATGCTCCCCCATGGGGCCGGCGAGCTTATATAGCAGCTGTGATCGGATTACCCGAGGCCCCGACACGCTTTACCCAAGCCTAAGTACGAATTCAGTTTCTGTTGGTCTCCGGTCGAGAATGTCGCTTATCATGAGTGTGATCTTGGTACATGGCTAATTCAAAGATTCACTATTGCTGTGGGTATATAGTCGATGTCCAAACTACTGTCATGATCCTTCGTATATGCACGCATACATACACGCTCCCCTTCGTACCAATTCTGTCCATGTCCCGTGCGGACTTTGAAGTGACCAGAGCTGAGGTGGTAAGGAAACGGAGATGATTAATATGCCAACACTACGTATTTCTATTCCATCTCTCACAGATCGGGTGTTGGAGGTGTATACTACACTTTGCTATAGAACTGGTTTGAGAGTCGCATCAGACATGCTAGGTAGCTTACATGCCTTGCCTAATCGAGGGGAGCCCTCGAAGCGTTGGCTCGCAAACTTCCGGCTTTCACCATCAGCCTATCGTCTCGGTTCAGGTTCACCCACACGAGATGGCCCGAGAGGCTTGATCCACTGATCTGGCGGTTGATATATGCTAGATCAACTCACAACCTCAGCGTCCCGTCAGCCGCCAGTCTCACGAAGCTTTGCCAGTGCTACCATGATGCCTTGGTCCATTGCCTCTGACTGGGCGCCTTCTTTGGACCATTGCTCTTCAATAGTATCTATATGTACTTCGGGCTTGCTGCTCTCCGACTCCGCAAGCAGAAACTCTTCATCTTGATGCTCCCGACCCTCATCTGACCTTGAAGGGGCGCCGGACGCCTCAGTCTCCAGCTGTGCCGATCGATGATTTCTATCTCTATTGAGAGCACTCGCCTTCTTCATCGACTCCACTCGAAATCCTTCCCTCACTGTATTATGCCATTGCCGGACCTTCTTTTCCCCCCATCCAGGGACCGCGCTTATCTGCTCTGACGGCGCATTAATTGCGTTCTGTAGGCTTCCGAAGGTGGACATTAGGCTCGCAGCGTCCGATTTATTGATGCTGCGAGGGGTAGTCACAAACTCGACTAGTGATTCCTTGTAGGATTGGGCCTGCTGCGTGCGAATAGCTGTAGGTTGAGAATTTTCGGATGACTTATACAGCTCTAAGTAGTGTGCGGCTTCGGGTGCAGACCAGCACAGCATCAATGTAAGGTTATTGATGAGAGACGTCTTAGACAGTTCTCGAAGGCTATCTTCATGATTTGCTATATCCACCATCACTAGGACAATGCGCAGTAGATACTTTCCCGCTAGCTGCCGTATGCGCGAGTAGATGTATTCAGGATGTAAGCGGTGGTACTTGAGCGACAAGAACAGCGCGCAGGTGGTGTTGCCGATCACGTAGTCGGCCGGAATATCCGCATATTCCCAAGGTACGATCTTGATATGGTTCAAGATCGGATTTCCTTTCTGTCGTGTAGAGACAAGTATAGCGGAGGGACCGGATCTATTGGGCAGTGCCTGTGGCGTAGGCTGTTGGATTTTAGGTGGATTGAACGCTTGGCCTGATGTCGAGACCGTGGGAGGTGCGCTGGACTCTTGTCGCTCGCCTCTGCCATCGGATTCGCTTCCCATATTCTCTACGGAAAGCGATGTGATGGCAAATATATGCAAGCCTTCTTAGCCCCAGCTCAACACTGAAGGAGAAATAGGCCACAGTCTGAGACACGGATCAGATTTCAAATTGGACCTGATTGAGCTTGAGAAGCTGTGCTTCTCGCCGTTGGCTAGCTTTCCGACCGGTATGCCCTCACGTGCAACCTGAGTGCGTCATATGCCTCTCCTACTCGCAGACGTCGAGAGTTCGAGCCGCTCCTTAGACATGCCGCCACTACTCATATATCCAGAGCATGTCTGTGACCTTTGGGGGAAACTTCTCGATATCTATGATTTTCCTATCAATATTATACCTCGATGTATACATATAAGGTCGCCCTCCTGTCGTGCTTGAACCCAGGCAGGACGAGATGGATCCTGGAAATTACTGGTCTCTGATTCGAGCGCCTCGTATCTAATCTTCCTCCTTACCGCCCTGAGACCCGCTTCTTTGTCCTTGCTGGGATTTTTCTGCCGCGGATTTTCCTCCGAAAAAAGTCATCCAGACACCAACCATGGCCGACAGTGACGATTCTCGCAACGAGAGCCCCGTCGAGGGTCAAGCCACCCCAAATAAGTCTGTGGCGGTTGTTGATACGCAGAACAAGGCAACAACCCAGTCTTCCTCGAACCAACCTCGTAGGGAATTGTTCATTCGATCGCTTTCCGCCTCAGCGACCACCGAGAGCCTCGCAGAACATTTCTCACAGTCTTATGTGATCAAGCATGCTATCGTCGTCACTGATCCAGAGACAAAGCAATCGAAGGGCTACGGTTTCGTGACCTTTGCTGATGTCGAAGATGCGAAGGCTGCGTTGGAGGAACTCAACGGAACTGTTTTCGCCGGGAAGAAAATCAAGGTCGAGTATGCGCAACCGCGCCATCGTGTTGTCGACGAGAACCTCGGCAAATCTAAACCATCTACCGAAGCCCTCGAGCTCAAGAAGCAAAGAGAACAACAAAGAGCGGCTGCTGTGCCACCCAGATTGATCGTCCGAAACCTGCCGTGGAGCATCAAGGAACCTAACGATCTGGCAGTGCTCTTCCGGAGTTATGGAAAGGTCAAGCAAGCCTATCTTCCCAAAAAGGGAAACCAGCTGGCAGGTTTCGGCTTCGTTGTGCTGAGGGGGAAAAAGAACGCAGAGAAGGCGCTAGAGGGCGTCAATGGCAAGGAGGTAGACGGGCGGACACTGGCTGTTGACTGGGCAGTGGAAAAAAATGTGTGGGAGAATCTGCAAAAAGAACAAGATAGCGCAGAGAATGATGAGCAGAATGAAGAGCCGAAAGATGTTAAGATGGCGGATGAAGAGGAGGAAGCGGCAGAGCCTGACTCTGATGTTGTCGAGGACGCTCTTTCGGCCGACGAGGACGATGATCTCGATAGTGAAGACGATATCGATGAGGAAGGGTTGGAAGGTGAAGGGATCGATGAACAGCAGGCAAAAGAAGATGAAAGGGATGCATCGACTATCTTCATCAGGAATCTGCCTTTCACTTGTGACGATGAGATGCTCTATGAACATTTCACTCAATTCGGGCCCCTTCGCTATGCACGAATCGTCATTGATCGAGAAACTGAGCGTCCTCGTGGGACCGGATTTGTTTGCTTTTGGAAAGTGGATGATGCAGTATCATGTGTGCGCGATGCCCCCAAACAGCAGGATTCCCTTGCCGCAGATAAAGACAAAGGCAAGAAAGCATCCACATCATACAAGCAGTCTGTTCTACAAAATGAGAACGCTGATCCCAGTGGGCGTTACACCTTGGATGGCCGTGTGCTTCAGATCGCTCGTGCAGTGAGCAAGTCTCGTGCCACCGAACTCGAGGAAGAGGGTGTTTCTCGTCGCCTTGTTCGCGATACCGATAAACGTCGTCTTTACCTTCTTCAGGAGGGTACTATCGCACCCAATACCTCTCTCTACAAGAAACTCTCGCCTTCTGAAATTAAGATGAGAGAGGACAGTTACAAACAACGACAGAACTTCATTAAGAAGAACCCGAGCCTTCACCTTAGTCTTACGCGTTTGTCCATTCGCAACATTCCCCGCCATATCACGTCGAAAGATCTTAAACAGCTGGCTAGGCAGGCCGTTGTTGGTTTCGCCCAGGACATGAAAAGCGGCGTGCGCCAACCCTTGTCGAAGGAGGAGCTGGACCGGGCTGCTGATATCATGCGCGAAGCAGAGCAGCAGCGGAAAAAGAAGGGCGTGGGAGTCGTCAGACAAGCCAAGATCGTTTATGAGAGTCGCGATGGAAGCAAGATCAACGAGGAAAGTGGAGCAGGCCGGAGTAGAGGTTACGGCTTCGTTGAGTACTACACCCATCGCCATGCTCTCATGGGTTTAAGATGGCTCAATGGCCATGCTGTGGAGCCTCCCAAATCCGCAACCCCCGATGCCCAGGACAAGAAAAAACGGCTCGTTGTTGAATTCGCCATCGAGAATGCTAATGTCGTCAAACGTCGCAATGAACTGCAGTCTAAGGCACGCAATTTCAAGAAAGAGGAAGAACAAGGCGATGGTGCCTCGAAACGTGGTGCGCAGGATAAGAGCTCCCAGACAGGACAGAAGCGAAAGCGTTCTGATAACAGCAGCGACAAGAACGATGCTGGTGAAGATGCGGAGGAACAGAACAAGATCGCGAAGCGAAACCGGATCATTTCAAGGAAGAGAATGCAACGGAGAACTCGGAAAGGGAAGGCTTAAACACGGGTATATTTAAAAGTTCAAAAGCGTCACCTAGATAGCTAATGGTCATTGTGTATACTTATACTAACAATCCGCACAAATAAGTTGAGATATCACTCAGAGATATAGATAGAACTAAGATGCTAGGTATCACAACAACATATGAAGGCACCAGATGCCAGTTCTTAGGCATATTTGGTGCGCTTATGATAGAGGAGCGCTGGCTAATCAAGGAAGTACCGCAAATGCCTCATTCACTTCTGTCAATAGTTGGCGGCGTCTTGCACTTTCCCAACAATGTTGTACCGTTTGCTAAAGAATGTGAACCATTCATCGAGTACCGTCTTCTCTTTATCCTCGAGATCGTACCAGTCAGATCGGCAATCCTCAGGCTTGAGCGACGAAGAGGCCAGGGCGCGGGAGGGATCCTTTCCGGCGAATACTGCAACCGGACCAAGGTATGAGCACAACGAGAACATATACATGTACCAGATAGCCGGATTATTTGAGCAGCCCGGATTTGAACCCACCGTGGTATTGCCCGCTCGGGCTGTATGCAGCGTTGCGAGTCACGTCGAAAACAATTCCTTTGATTGCGACCAGCGTAGGACGATTCGGATCGGTGCCTGCAGTCGCACTCAGTCAGAAATAACTCGCTGCGTGCACCTAGGCATCTCTTAACAAAATCAACTGACCGTCGCATTTCGATAGTTCCTCCACAGTTATCAGATCGTATTTGGGAGGGTCGAGCTGGACAGGGACCTTAGGGGAGAAACGCTTCGGCTCGGGCTCGTGTTCGACCATGGTGTCTCACTGATTGATATACAACTTCGCTATTTGTTTTGCGCTGGCGATCAATTATGGCGATTGAGTACCTATGACTCCAACTCCCATAAGCAAGCAAGCTATTGTATCCGAGAAAAGAAGTTGATGGTGGGATTCGGGACGAGAAGACGCGGGGCAGGCGGGGGAAGAAGTGCTCGGGGCGGTGCAACCGTGGGTCGGAACCTGAGAAAAGCGACCTCTAATTTAGTTCCCTGCCATTGGCCTGCATTTGAAGTACTCCGTACTCCGGACTCCGTACTTATTTTTTTTTTTTTACTAATGTATGTTCATGCTCATACTCAACACACCGAGGAGATCAAGGTTTTCGTCTCATTGAGCAGGAGCTTGTTACCTTCCACCGTCCTTCAATGTGTGGTGTAAGGATTGAGGTTGCATATAAGGATACGTACTGTACTTGGAGGGCACACAGTATTTGAATATCTCTCATACTCGAGTACCGAATTTACATAATACTGCTTTGGGCATCTGACGTCAAGGAATGTTGGCTAACAGCTGGATTCATACGAATACTGTGCATGTCGCAACGATATTTCCCCCTAGAAATCTCATTTATCTTCACATCCGCTGATTTTTTATCATCGCATTATCTCCTCCAACTCTACTTCTCACTGCAGCTCAAATAATGTCCCCAAGTCACTTCGATCAGCCGGAGAAGCTGGAGTCTGTACCTTTCCTCACAAAAAGGCCCGAAGTCAGTGAGGTTACACACTCGCAAAATCGCCAACAGAACCCTCTGGAGTCGGAATTATCGCATCACCTATATTTCGAAGATAATGATGGCTTCTTCCCCCCCAGCTGGCTAGGGCAGAAGCCCCCCGCTCAAGGCCGAAGTCGTCCGTCGACCCCAGAAACCGAAACCGCAGCGCGATCCCACTAGACGCTGGACGGGGTCATCAGCATGATCTGGCTTGGACGAAACTATGGCGCTTTTTGGAGTTTCTACTGCATTTTTTGTCTGGGCTGGCCATATCTTCTGCTCAGTGCTATACTAGGGCCATCAGATTGTCAAATTTACCATATTTCACCCCCCGCCCCCGGGCCTTGATGAGATGCTGTTCTCTGCAAGCAGGCACGGTTGGAATGAAGAAGACAGTAATTACTAGGTACTGCTCAGTATGTACATCATGTGATCGCAGTAATTGGGCGCCTCTCAGGCTGGGTGTACCGCAGATGGATGGCAGCGGTATGTCCGAAGTAGTAGCAATAGAATTTCAACCGGTGTTAACTATAGCCATTATCAGTAAAAGGTCTAGTCAACGTACTGTACTGTACTGTATTCCGTACTTCGTAACATGGAACCGTTTTCAGCTGGCGGGCCCTTCTCCAACAAGTTCCCGCACATTTCTCCCACCCCGCCAGGTTTCACCAATTTACCAATGACCTACGGAGTACTCCGTACAGTATCCTACCTTCTCTTCCAAGTTCTTTTCCTTTGATACTTAGTAGGTACAACCCTGGAGCTATCATGTCGGTCGTTGGCACATCATTTTGGAAACTGGCATTGGAAACCCTATGGCTGACACTTGTGACTTAATCAATGGAAAACTCATGGCCTTTTCCACTACGTACTACAGGCTGAAGGAATGTTGCTGTGGATTTGCCCGCGTCCTCCCTTTGGTCCCTCCGCGCTAGTCTGTTGTCTATCTTCGGGCTAGAAGTAAGGGCCTTTTTATCTGTCCGTCATTGTGGGGAGCCAAAATGGAGTCGCCCGTGCTGGAGATATCCCTTTTGCTCTATGATTTGCTTTCCTGCTTGTCTTTTGACATACCTGCCGAGGTAGGCCAGCAAAATCAGCAGGCAGCTGTAATGAATCATGATTATTACGACCATGATACCGTCTTCCGCCCGCTTCTAGTGGCTTGCTACATATACGACGGCCTCCACCCTTCGTCCGCTGCTTTTCTTAGTCCTTGCTCTTCTCTCCGGAGATTCTTTCTGCATTGTTATTATGAAGCGCGCTCTACCTGCCTGTTGATCATCCGAGTGAACCAGAATTGCAGTTGTGGGTCAAGGTCCTACCCACGCTTCGCAGATGACTATTGCGACTGTTCTCCATGAGGAGCAATCCCCGACAATAGATTGTCCTGATAGCAGATATGCTGCCAGTCACCAAGGACCACATGAAAAGGGCGTGGTAGTCAATGATAGTGAAGAGTCCGCTGTCTGTTCAAATACATTCGCCTCCGACCACACACATCGCAAGCTTAAGCCCAGACACATACAACTTATTGGCATCGGTGGTACAATTGGCACAGCACTATATGTGCAGATTGGTAAGGGCTTGATGCATGGTGGCCCTGGCAGCCTGTTTCTGGCTTTTTTGATCTGGTTAGTTTCCCACTACTGCTGCCAATTTGTCTTTATACTGCCCTTCCTCTCCTTCCCTACTGTTACCGCTGCCATCTCGACCTGGCAACTATTGTCCCAGAGAGCTTGCCTCAATGGTAGTGAGTCAACTTTCACTACAAATGAGCCAGTTCCTCCACCGGTTGCATAGCTATTGAGACATGCTGGTCAACCTCAATGAGCTGTTCCTACAAACCCCCCGTGGAAACCTAAGTAGGACCGGACTGCGACACATTTGATTTGGTTGTGAATTAGCACGGGTGTGAATATGGCCTTTGTGATCAAATGCCTCTTTTCATCGTACGTGAAATGCCAAATCTTATATACTCTCGGAATAGGTCCCTAGTTATCCTCTGTATAACAGTCTGTAAGAGGCCCTATTGTTCAATCCTGTTGGCTTCTTTCCTCGCGGTCCGAGATCATTTTTCCAGTTCCACCTCTCTGCCAACAACGGCATCTCGATCCTTGCGCTACTTCGGCATCGAGAACCTTTGAAAGCATGAATACACCTACGTTTCTGCCGGTGATCGGTTCATAGGCACCCTGTATCCGTTTTGTCTGGTAAGACCGTCACTGAACAAACTCTTGTGCTAGGCCTGGCAGAAATGGTTACCTACTTGCCCATATCATCACCTTTCATTAGATTCGCTGGTCGATATGTTGACGATGCCTTCGGCGTGGCTGCTGGTTACAACTTCTTCATATTCGAAGCCATTATGGTCCCGTTCGAAGTTACGGCATGTAATATGATTATCAACTACTGGAGCGATGCAGTTCCAGTTGCCGGGATTGTTATCATTGTACTAGCACTCTACGTGTGCGTGGCCTCTCCTTTATTCTGATGGACCGTTGAACCGCAGTTTTCTAACCAGATCTAAACCTGTTGACTTTTCAGTCTTTTGAATCTCTTTGCCGTCGAATGGTATGGCGAGTCTGAATTCTGGCTTTCTCTCAGCAAAGTCTTACTTAGTGTGGGGCTGATATTCTTCACATTTATTGTGATGGTTGGAGGTAACCCTCTCGGCGACCGGTTCGGCTTCCGGTACTGGAGAAACCCTGGAGCCTTCGCAGAATATTATAAGCCTGGCGATCTTGGGCGATGGCTTGGATTCTTGGCTTGTTTCATTCAGGCTAGCTTCACCATCGCCGGGCCTGACTACGTCTCAATGGCTGCCGGGGAGGCAGTCAATCCCCGTGGAGTTCTACCGAAGGCCTACAACGGCATATTCCTTCGGCTCACGGCATTCTTTGTTTTGGGGGTGCTTTGCATTGGCATCTTGGTTCCTTATAACGACCCCGAAATGGCGGCTGCATTTGAACAAGACTTGCCCGGCGCTGCGTCATCGCCTTATGTGATTGCAATGGATCGGTTACGAATCCCAGTGCTGCCACACATCGTCAATGCCATGATTCTCCTTGCTTCGTTCAGCGCGGGTAACAGCTATGTTTACTGTGCCAGCCGTAGCCTTTATGGGCTTGCGCTTGATGGCAAGGCGCCACGAATCCTCACAAAATGCACCAAAAAGGGTATACCGATCTACTGCGTGCTAGCCGTTCTTCTGATTTCCCTTCTTGCGTTCTTACAGGTTTCCAATGGCTCAGCAGTCGTGCTTAACTGGTTTGTTAGTCTGGTAGGGCCCCCTCGCTGAACGTGCCATGACTCGCGTGCTGACCAGAGTGATAGATGACAGCCTCCCAACTCATTAATTTCTCGGTCATTACCTTCACATACACTAGATTTAGGAAAGCTCTGATCGCACAAGGCGTGGCCCGGCAGACTCTACCCTACCGGAGTTGGGGCCAGCCTTATGTCGCCTACATAGCCTTGGTCTCCACATTCGTCATGACCTTTGTCGGAGGATACACAGTTTTTCTGCCCGGCAACTGGGACGTACCGACATTCTTGTTTTCGTACACGATGATTGCGGTGTTTCCAATCATTTATGTTGGCTATAAATTCCTTTGCCGAACAAAATTCCTGAAGCCCGAAGAGATCGATATAATGACTGGAGTGGATGATATAGATGAGTATACGAAGAGCTATGTTGAAGTACCTTCGCGGTAAGCCCTCAACCTTCCGCGACGCTGCATGACTGCCATGAGACAATTCGTGTGAACTAACAAGACACAGTAACCCTCTCTCACGATTTGGCGATTGGCTGTTCGGCTAACCTACTTACACGGTTGGACCAAAGAGGTGTGGCAAGAATGATGTGTTCTATTGTATTGATTACAAATATAATACTGATGGATTTGCTTGCTTAAAAAGAAAAGCTTAATATCTTATAAATTATTAAATTATTAAGAAAAAAAGAAATCTCTATAAATTTGTAGTATTTATATATATCTAGTTTAATTTAAAATTATATAATTTATTAAAGTAAGGTGTTATATATATATACTAATATACCTTTATAATAAATTAATTATAAGATCTTTTTTTTATATAAAATAATATAATAATTTTTATAGTATTTTTAAATAGGCAGCTAGTTAGTTAAAAAAAAGTATTAACTATATTTTTATAATCAGCAGTTAGTAATACTGTTAAAAAATTTAATATATTTAATTATTTAATTAAGTATTTAAATTTAATATTTTTAAACAGCTTAGTAAAAATATCTGTAAAATTTTTAAAAAATTTAATATATTATAAATATATATTACTATACTGTATAGTTTTACAAATTTAGTAATATATAATATTAATATATTTAATTTATTAGTAGAACTAATTATTTTAGGTAAATATAATAGTATTTTTATTATTAATATATATTATTATTAAAAATATAGTTTTAAAGCCTATATTTTTAATTATATAAATAATCCAGTAGACTTTTTTAGCTACTGTATAAAATACTATATATTTAGCTTTATATATAAAAGCTGTAATATAGAATTAAAAATATAAAATCTAAAAAATTAGATTATTTATTTATATAAAAATATATCTAAAAGTTAAATAGTATATATTAAAATATTTAGTATAATTTATATTAATATAGCTAACTATAATATTAATTTATTTAGCTAAATTATTATTTTTTATATAGACTTTATACTAAAAACTATATCTACTTATTTTTTACAGATATTAATATAGTAAAAAAAACTATTTATATATTATTTAGCTGTTGCATGCCCAGCTCGCCAGAGCGAGACTGACGCAACCTCATTCTGCCATTCTCCACCGCCCAAGCGGGAATGTAGTTAGCCGTCGAGATAGCGAAGTAGAAGGAATCAATCAAGCATCTATTTCATGAATCATCGTTCCTTCGAGCCCTCGATCGGCAACAAAAAAAAAGTTTTTTTATATAAAAAAAAATCTTATTTTTATAAGATTAGCTCTGCTAGTTTTAACTATAAAATATTTTAAACAGCCAGAATAGGTAAATTAAAAAAGATTTAATACTATTTACTAAAAAAAAGTTTTTTTAATTATAAAAAAGGCTATTTATAAACTATTATAAAAAGGCCGGCCAGTAGATAGTAGACTATATATCAGTAAAAAAGCCTTATAAAAATAGTAGTAAAAATAGTATAGTATACTTTTTATAAAAGTATAAAATAGTAAACTATCTTTTCTACTACTTTAGTTTTTTATAAAAGTATTTATAAAGTAGAGGTTTTAATAGTACTACTGTAAAAGGCAATACTTTTTTATAAAAAAAAATAGTTATTAAAATTTAAACAGCTTTTCTAATCTTTGCAGATATTTATAAAAAATATATATATAAATAATTTAAAATAGTAGTTATATAACAGCTAAATAAGCCGGCTGCAGCCGCCTCTAAAAGCAGCAGCTGTTTTATAAGTTAAATAAGGCAGCAACAATACTTTAAGATAATATATTAGTATTCTTAGCTTTGCAAAAGCTATTTGTTTATTACACTATTTCACCCTTTAGCCCTTATAATTTTTATTTTATTAGTTTTTAGATTTAGAGTTGTTTAACTTCCGGCCTTTAAACACCTTTATAAAATTAGTATTATTAAAGTTAAACTAAATATATATATTTTTTTATATAAAAATCTAAATAATTTAATTCTATATTATACTTTTTTTAATATATTAAAAATTAAAATAGGAAGTTAAAAAAATAAACTACTATTTTTTAAAATTATAAAAAAAAACTAAATATATATACTATTACTAAGTTTTTTATTATTAGTAAAATTATATTAAAATTTATTTAATATTTTAAATATTTTTATAATATATTTATTAATATTTTTATAGTTATTATACTATAGTAATATAGTAGTTTACAGTTTTTTAAATAACTATATATTAAAAATAATATTAAAATATTTTTTTAGCTTATTCTAAACTTTTTTTATACTATTAAGATTAATAATACTGTATTAAATTTCTATAGTTAATATAGTATAAATAGTTTTAATAGCCTTTTTATTTTTAACTTTCTATATAAATAGCTGTTTTTTAAAATATTTTAATATTTTTTTATATATAGTAAAATTAATATTTATTTTACTAAAGCCAAAGCCAGTAGACCTGGATGTATTTTATATAACTTAAAAATTTCCAGCTGCTTTAGCTTTACTGGAAAACTAAATAGATAAAAAAAATTAAACAAATTTTATATTAGTATTAAAAACTATTTTTTAGACTTTATAAATAAAAATATATTTTTAAAATTTTATATTAGATTTAATAGTTATTTATATCTATTAAGGCCAGAAGCTTAGTAATATTAACTATCTACTATATTATTACTAATTAATAAATATATTCTTTTAATTACTAAATTTATTAATTAATTAAAATATTTAATTTAGTCTAGTACTTTTTAGTAGACTATATAGTTAATAAAAAGATTTTCTTAGTACTTAATACTAAAAAATAGAAAAAAATAATAAAAATTAATTAAATAAAGACTTTAAGCTTAAGCCGGGCTTATAACCTATTAATTATAAATATAATACTAATAGATTTATTTGTTTAAAGAGGAAAGCTTAATATCTTATAAATTATTAAATTATTAAAAAAAAATCTCCACAAATTTGTAGTGTTTATATATATCCAGTTTAATTTGAAATTATGTGACTTGTTGAAGCGAGGCGTTACACGCACACGCCGATATATTGCTCCAGGCGGGAGATATATAATCAAAATATAGTTCTGAACGTGACGCGCCGTCCGGCAATGCGTCCCTGTAAAAGTATTCAGCCGGTATACAAAGCATATAACAACAGCAGAAGACATTACAATTCGCAGAATCGGCTTCCAGCAGCCGACGCGACCAAGTGTCTTGTCTCGGCGCCAGTTGGTGAATCCACCTAGTTTTCCTGTCCCTGGTTCTGTTCCTTTTTGATAGCATCCATCCTCGATTTGTTCCGCTTGCCCAGGACTCTCAATGTATTTGTCCGTTCAATCTCGGTCATCTGCTCCCAGTTGGAGATTCTCGATAGTGTTCCATCCTGGTTGACGACCAACGGGCCGAGATGGTCCAGCCTCACGGATGTCCCATCGCCACTGACGTCGAGCTGTCGCGTCGCAGAGTCGACACTGCTTGCATCTGGAAGGGCGAGGTGTTCTTTCCGCTCCTGATTTTCCGAATTTTCCGAGAGGGTGGCGGTGCCAGTAGTCTGGGGCTCTTGGGTAGGGGTCGCCGACATCGTTGAGCAGAAACTGGCGTTATAGTGACGGTAAAGCTGAGAAGCGAAGCAGTGTGGATGAGCAGGGAGATGGAATTGGAATCGTGGCGTACTGATCGCCGATGCGCGGGTGGATGTGGATGCGGTAAGAAGTGGGTTGAGGAGAATGTTGAGGAGAGAGGCACGGGTCAAAGGGCCAGACATGTGCATTATATGTCGGTCACGTAAGCTGTAGCTTGAGTGGGGTGCAAAGAATAGAGAGAGAGAGAGAGAGAGAGAGAGAGAGAGAGAGAGAGAGAGAGGAGGAATCAACGTGTGACGGACAATGATGGGGGTTTTTTTTTTAATCTTGGGGTGGAATGAGGTGGTGAGAGGGAACTCTTGGGCGGGACCGCGGCGAGGAGAGGATTCTAGAAATTTAGTGAGGGACAACCGACACTTGCCCTCTATAGATTCACTACTGATAATCCAGGCTTCGAGATGCTTCCAATGAGATCAGAAGCCTTTCCGCCCTGTTTGTGGTGGCGTGGCTTACTTATTCATAATAGAGCTGGATACTGTAGATGGGGCAACATATGATTCGATTCTACTTTTTTACACATTACGAACTTTGGCTGCATTTGGCTGCACTTATTACCTGAACCACCAATTGACCTGGTGAAAGATCAGTAGACTCCCTTTAGCGAACGTGACAGCATGGCATCTTACCGAAGCAGTCACACTGTCCCCCAGTCCCTTGATGCTATGCCACCATCCTCGAGGTATGAACATGCCGTCTCCAGCCTCTAGGTGCGCTTCGAATCCGATGGGACCAGTAGATTCGGTAGCTGCATCATCCCAGACAGCCTGCTCAAGCAGCACCCTCTCCTCGCCGTGCATCATGTCATCGCCCCGAATTGCAGCAGACTCGCGGCCAGCGCTCTTCCCCAATCGGCGTCGCACCGCGCCGAACACCCTTTGCCCTTCCGAGGGTGGTAGCAATCGCACCACCTTCCGTCCGGCCAGCTGGACAAACAGATTCGGGTTCGGATCGCGGTGAAGAGGGGTATACGTGGGCGGGTATCCAATCCAAATGTTTGTATCGTAAACATCTCCCTTTCCTACCTGCGCAACCAAGTTTGGGGTGGGGAGATCATCGCGAAGAACCTGCGGCAAGTCAAGGAGCTGGCACTGCGCCAGGTACAAACGCATCGTGTGCGATTCGAGAGATTCCGCAGTAGATATCCATTCGAGGAACAAGCTTAGAGGCGCATGGAACTGCCGAAAGCTAAGCCCATTCGCTCGGATACTAGTACTGGCAGGAGCTTGTGTCAGTTCCAAGGGAACCAGAGCATCCGCGCCATATTGACTGAGATATGCGGTGTTTAATCGGGACGGCGAGTCGCGGAACCATTTCTCGAAGGCAGGAAGAGTTTGGAAATATCGGAGGGGGAGGATGATAGGGTGCTCGGGGATGAAGTATGTCTGACGAAAGTGGTCGAGCTCAAAATCCTCGAGAGATTCCAACGGGCGGTACGGGTGCTGCGATGCCGTCGTGGAGAAAGAGCCGAGGCATTGTTGGCTTGGTTGGTTACAGTGAGAGTGCCTCCTCCATACCCGGAGGTTATTGTAACATGATCGTTGGTGGATCTTCATTCAGACTGGTGAGATGTAGTAGTAAATCTTGCAGGCAGATTTTTGTGCGGTGTTCTCAGGCCAACTTGGTTGCGAGACTGGAACCTTGAAGGTCGGGAGATTTCCGCCCCGAGCTGCCAGTGCGTAAGCTTTACCGCCTTGGGGTCACTCTCTCACTCCCGTCTACGTAACCGGGACCCAGTCCGACCGTCCACCCGTCTGGGGAAAACGGAAACCCCGCGTGCCCATCCGCCGAGGAGAAGGAATCTATCCGCACCAGTCACTGCTTGCTTCCACGCCAACAATCAATCGTCGCATCGTGTTACTCCCCTAAGATGGCTTCAGAGTCTCCCCAGACTGATATGGCACTACCTCAGCTGGAAGTCACGGACCAGAATGAAGCCCCGGCTGCCGATACGACGAAGAGGAAGGCGGAACAGGCTAACGGAACGCATACTCGCACCAAGCGGAATCGCTACATCTCTATCGCATGGTATGATTCCGGCTCTAAAATCCACACCGAGACAAAACCCCAGACCTCTCTCAATTGCGGGATTGCGATTTGCTGACACAAGGCTGGAACCTTTCCTTTGTGTTTAGTAATGAATGCAAACGGCGCAAGATCAAGTGCAACGGCCAGGTACCTTGCCAACGCTGCGGACACCTTAATCTCGAATGTTAGTTGTCACCGCGAGGGGTGTGTAACCCGGATATGACGTTGATGCAAGGGACACGCTGAGTTATCTTCTTAGGCCGATATGCCCCGAACTGCTGCAACAATAATTTCAAGGATTCCGAGTAAGTCGACTGGGCAATGATTCCCTTGATCCCGCGTGACATACACCCCGGAGGCGCCATGGCTCACCGAACATCTTACATAGAGAATTTCGATCGATGAAAGACCAAATCAAGACTTTGCAAGATCAAGTCAATAGTCTCTTTTCTAACCTAAAGGATCTTCGGTCTCAGCGATCATCTTTAGACCCACCGGGCTTCGATGGGCTCTCTCGAGATGGCTCCCAATCAGTCTTCACGCCAATGCATGCACCATTGGCTAAACCTCGCATGAGGCATCCGCGCTTTCAGGGCCCTACTAGTTCCGCTTTCAACTTTGATGTCGCCCGTTCGAGTCTGCAGACCATGGGCATTGCGCCAGCTGAGGAGATGATTACAGATGATCTCACCACAGCACATGCCACCCCTGCCGGTTCACCTCCGCATGTGGGCCAGCTTGTTTCCACAATTCATCCAACTAAAGACCCGATATGGGTTATCAAGAGGGATGAAGCCCTGCGACTTTGCCAGGTGTACGAGGAGGAAGTTGGAATCATGTACCCTCTTATAGATATCGAACAGGTAGCGCAACAAGTGAACTTGCTCTACACATTTGTGGAAGCTGCAACACGGACTGGCTTCGCACAGAGAGGTCTCCCCGGTGCAGATGGTCTTCACGACGATAGCACGCTTCTTTTGAAGATGATTCTCGCAATCACTTTGGTGATAGAGGGAGGCGGCCAGAGCGAGCTAGCACGGCGTCTTTACCTAAATGTCAAGCCGGTTGCTGAAGCTAAAATCTGGGACTCGCTGGACATTAGGACAATTCAGTTATATGGTTTGATGGTATGTTCTGTTCCGGGTCCACCAAGCTTCGATCATTGACCGTGTGTCTAGGCAACCTATCATTTCCATTCGGATGATGATGCTATGGCATATCGTATCATCGGTATTGCAGCGCGTATGTGTCTTGAGATGGGCCTGCACCGACGAGATGCGCTGGCGAAATTGTTTCCCAACGAAGACCAGTGGCCTGCCATTGTGAAGATCTTTTGGTCGGTTTATAGTTTGGACAGGCGTTGGAGCTTTGGTACAGGGCTTCCCTTCATCATTCAAGATGAAGACATTGATCCCAATTTGCCCGAACCGGTGAGCCCCGTCATTCAATCATTAATCCAGTTATTCGTAGAGCTAACCGATCCTTAGGATGCGTCTCTACTGTATCTTAGGTGCATGATATCGTACAACCGGATCAGCTCCAAGATATGGTACTCCGGACTTGGCTCAGAAGGAGCAACTGACATACGACGCGATGAGATTGGCTATCTGGACTATCAGATTCTGCAATGGTATAAACAAGTGCCGGATGGGCTGAAGTTCTACCCAGTCGATGTTCCAAAGCATCACCATGGTGAGTCAACTAGCCGAGGTCTTCGAAGACTGAGGATTCTTTTATATCTACGCATGAATCAGCTTCGGATCCTCATTTACCGGCCGGTGCTACATTCCGCGGTGAGCATCGCGGAAGACAAAGGTCACGCGCAGACCGTGGTGGATATTGCGAAAGACACGATCCGAGTGCTCACTCGGCTCAACGGGACGTCCGATATCTATCGTACGCAGCAAATCACTTTCAACTACTTTCTAGTCGCCGCCTTAGCGGTCCTCTTCCTCGCTGTGTGCCATGCACCAAATGACTTCAACCGACAAGTGCGGGACGAATTTTACATGGCTCTTGAACTGGTCAGCGGGTTCAGTACCAAATCTTATGTATCCAAGCGACTCTGGAAGACAATCAAGGGTCTCCGCAAGATAGGCGAACGGTTGGGTGTCATTGTACGACCTTTCGGAACCGATTCCAACGACCCTCATTCTTCCGCGGCTGTTGCAATGGCCGGACTGGCCGGTCACCAAATCGAAGATCTTTCGGTGTATGGGTCGGTGAATGGCGCTGGAGAGCTAGGAAACAGCCCGCTGAATGGGCTGCAAATGAGCCATGAACTCACGAATCTTTTCGAGGCGGTTGGGGGTTTTGGCAATTTCATGAACTCGGGAGGGGCTTCGGAAAGCCTCAATGGCTTTATCGGCCAGGATGGAGAAATTCAAAACACCGGGGAAGGTTTGTCGGGTGTTCTTGGAGATGAAGGTGAATGGTCGCGTGTTATACGGGATTTATTTTAGACGTTTGAGCTGTATTTAGGATGTGGCTGCAGCCTGTCTTTGGCTATCACCCCGCCGGTGACCGAGAACTTCTCAAATTGTTCTCCATGCCATCCTTGGGATCTTGGTCATTCATACCTGTATTCATAGTAATTCGCCTGTTCGGTAGAATCCGTTGTCGAGTGTGTGGTGGACATCTAATCACGTGATCGAGTACTTGCAGTGCATGAAAGGCTCACCTCAGATGCTTTTCCAAAGAAGGAGCAACGGTCGTCGTTATGATTTATCGAATCGAACTTGATCTCATGCTGCTAGGAGCGCTGGCATCAGTGGTCTCGCTTTCTTCTTAGTCTTTTCTTGTCTTCAATGAGTTAAAATTCAGTCCCGCCTACTATCTCTCATCCCCTCTCACCGCCCCACGAATCTAATTTCGGAAGCCCCTCGACAACCTCCGTCGATCCATCCATCCAGAACCGAGCTGGGAGTGCGTGATCCAGCCTCATCCCTAGCTTGCCACTCCTTTGGTGAGTCTTGGACTTTAATTCAGAGCCTGATCTGTGACGTCCCATGTCCATTTAAGTGATTCGCTGGTTAGTGAATGCCCATCACACTACTAATATCGTCTACATCCCTCATCGCACAATAATCCGCCGGCCTGCACATTGCCAATGACCCCTCGCCTTATCAGCCAGGCAGATGTACGGTCACTAATTGACCATCTCAGCAGTTCGCCTTTCACGGCCTCTTCCCTTTAGCACCTGATTTCCTGTGCTCCATATCTTCTCCCTCTTGTTTTAGGGAGCACCGCAAGGAACACGATTAGACTTGTACCCGGCACTCGATATAGCCGGTGCAGGTTTCAGCCCGCGCTCTATCTCGGAACGAGATTCATATCGGAAGCCTGGTTTCCCCCGTTAGCTCGGCAACGTGTCGAGAGAGACAGGTTCGGCGTTGGCCGACGGCCTAGACAGGCTGGATCTGAGTCAACTGTCTGAATCAACGCCCTCATCATCCGCGTCGGACTCGTTCGATATGTCGTCGTCGGAAGGTGCACCGGAGTCATGGATCTCCTCTTTCTGCTCCTTGATGGGCCATGAGTTCTTCGCCGAAGTTTCCGAGGATTTCATCGAGGATGACTTCAACCTCACTGGCCTTCAGTCGCAAGTGCCCATGTACAAGGAGGCGTTGGAAATGATCTTGGACGTGGAGCCGGAGGAGGACGACGAGGATGAGGAGGAAGAGGAAGAGGAGGAGGATGAAGATGAGATACTGGGCGATGACAAGCCTCCGGGCTACCGGAGAGCTGGAGAGCGCAGGCATGCACGGGTGGCAAGCGATTTGAGTGTGATTGAGAGCTCTGCCGAGTTGTTATACGGTTTGATCCATCAACGGTACATCACTTCGCGGCCTGGCATTCAGCAGATGCTTGAGAAGTACGAGATGCAACATTTCGGTGTCTGCCCCAGAGTGTACTGCAATGGTTGCAGGGTCCTGCCCGTGGGTCGCTCAGATACCCCGGGTCAGGAGACCGTCAAATTGTTCTGTCCCAGTTGCCAGGACCTCTACACACCTCCCAACAGTCGCTTCCACTCGGTCGATGGCGCCTTCTTCGGTACCACTTTTGGGTGCCTGTTCTTTATGACTTTCCCCGATTTGGACATCGGATCTCGGATGGACAATTCCCTGTCAGCTCTTTCCCCCACGCGTTCTTCCTCCTTGACATCTTCCTCGATCAACAACCAGGTGTCACCAGATGTGCCCCCTCCCAATCAGCCCGTCGAGATCAACGGCATGCGCACGGTCAATTTCAGCCCCGGTCTCGGCCCGGGCCGCATTTATGAATCGCGAATTTATGGATTTCGTGTCTCAGAGAGATCACGATCAGGCCCGCGCATGAAGTGGCTGCGCATGAAGCCAATTGATATCCGTGAGCTGGACGAGATGTCTCGTTACGAAGCGCTACATGGAGAGGCCGACAACGATGGCGATACGGAGATGGGCAGTGGTAACGGCGCCGCTGCTCAGAACGCCGCCATCGCCAGACGGAAGAAAGCCCCAATGCGAAGGCGCCGATACAATCCGGATCAGATGAGCATCAACGGCGCAGAAGCTGGTTGAAGTACTCGTCATCATGCTTGGATGAGAACGTCGCACTTTTTCTCTCTATCCTTTTTTTTTCTTGGACTACTTGTGTGAACGCAACCTCTTCATTTCTCATGGACTCCTTTGCTCTTTGGAAGGATTGAGTTTATCTCCTGTTTCTCTTTTTGCCTTTCCCATTTCACTTTCATCATTCGACGAGTCTGTCTACCATCACCACCTCCCCGACGAGGTTCGAATTGCACTGTAAGGGAGTCAAACCGCTGCCGGCAAACACCACCTAGTCCGTTCGCCGCCATGCGTATCGGCCCAAAGCTCATATATCTATCTACTCATGTTCAGTGATATTGTCTCACGTTGTCTTATGTTTCGTTCCTCCCGTTGACCTGCATTCAGGCGTCGTTGAGTCAAATTATCGTCTTTGGCATACAGATTCACGTTCACAAATACAGTACCAATACACCATGCACAAGATTATTTTCGCTGCGGACAATCAGCTTGTTTATTGAACCGTAGTTGCGCAGGAGAAGTGTTTGAATCCCAAGGAAGCAAATTCACCGACACCTAGCATCGTTGGGGCAATTCGGGCTTTCTGTAACAAGAGGTCACAAGAGGTATTGTAGTACAGTATATCGGAGACTGGGAGGGCGGTTTGCGCTTCGGCGAAGTCCGAATCCGCCTTAGGCTCGCTCGGTCATAGTCGCCTAACAACTACCTGGGTAACTAGTAATAAGTGACAACCGCCAATGGCTGGTTTAGTTTTCGCTCCTTGCAGAGTATGCGGTATGCGAACCTGGCTGTCCGTCGATATAAAGGAAGACGAAAAGAAATAAAAATAAAAACTGTGAAGAACAAATGTAGAGAGAACTGAACGGCAGAAGTAGCTTAACCATATCTATCATTAGCTAATTACTCCACTATACTTTGGGAGTGGTGGAAATGGACACCTGCCTACTTTTACTGAGGAGTCCACCACCAGAAAGCCACAGACCTGACAAGTCGGTGTTCTAAGGCCGTATCTTCTAGCGGAGGGGCCGCTTCGCACGTGGTCCATAAATTAAGAACAGGCAACAGGCAGTGGGTGGCTCGGATACATACATTTGATTGCACCGACCGTAATCTTCAGGCATCGGAAGAATTAAGGTGATGATGATGATGATATTGGCAACGTTGAAATCCTCGGTAAGCATTACTTTCTCGGGTCCTCATTTGTGTTCTTTTCAACTGTCACCGGTGGCAGGAGTCTGGTTGTGTGCATGAGAGTACCTCGATCAACTGCATAATTCTTAGGCGGCCAACTGTCCAATCCTCCAGACATCTTCACGTCTTCATGTGCTTGCCGATATGACGCACGGGGTTCGTGCGTTACCTCCGCTAACTTACTATCTCCGGCATAGACGAGGTCGGATTTCACCGTTCGTCTGCCGTGGGCTATGACCGACAAATCTTTGGTTGAGCCGCGTTGGTTTTTATCGTTTTCATTTCTTTTCGTCTTTTTCCTATCTGTCTTTTTTCGGACTTTCTCTGCATTTCTTCCATTCATCATGCTTCATGAATTTGCACGCCATGCTACTGGGGTCTCACATTAGCGTGGCCTGATGGCTGTTCGTCTATACGAGCTCCGACCGAGTGAGGGGAGCCCTTTCAGAGGCAAGGATGCGTCTCTGTCCTCTGAATCGCCAAAGTTCCATGTAACCCGGTGCCGGGGCATCTGGGATCGTTGCAACGTTGAAATAACTCGTAACTCAATCATAGTCTCAGCCGCGCCGGGAGACGGCTATCCTTGTTGGTGCCGGTGAGCTGTATCTCCACGGCGTGTTGCACGATATCGCGACGAGAGAGTTACCTCGAGGGTGCCGGAGAGTGTATGGACAAATTGGTCCGGAAGAGTTCTCACCTGTAACGGGTCCTGACTTAGTCCCGAGAATTTGGATGGGCTTACATGGTCGCATCTAGCGGACTAGGGCTGTCACTTTTACTGAGGAAAGGAGTAAGAGGTTTACTCTCTGATAGAGTAGAACCAATCTTGATTCATAATCCGCGGCCTGGAATCAAGGTAAGCTCCATGCTGCAGCCGATGGTGAAAGGGACGAGAAAAGTAATGTTCTCAAGATAAGTGGGTATCATAAAAATCATGGAAAGGAGTTGAATACGTCGCAATTTGTGTTGCCCGACAAGGCCCAGTTTCTGGTATTTTCACTCGCGGGAATAGCAATTGTGCGTGTTCCAGAAAGGAAAACATCGTCACAAGCGTAACTTGCCTTGACTGCGACCAAAAATAACCCTTGTGCGATTCGTGGTATAGCCCGATTTTGGAAGTCGGTGATATGCTTTAATTCCGAGTACGCTTACCATCTGAAGCGAATGGCCCGGGGCTAATATTTGGAATACGATAAAACATCATGGATTGTTTATCCAGACTGTCTTCAGCCGATACAGACCTGAACACCGATCCAAACTGCACACTTGAGACGAAACCCGTGAATAAGCCTGGGTACGAGTCAGCTGCCACCTGTTGAGGGTGAGGGTGTGCATGAAAGTGATTTGGAACCCCCAGATCTGTCGATGCTAACATAATTCGTACCACATCTTGCCAGGGTGTGTGGAGGCGCAGCAGCAGCATGCCAGCAGTTGTGTGGCATACGTCACTTTGGCGACTTGAGCAGAGCCTCCTGGCATGAAATGAAAAGCAACATCAGTCAGTCGTACAGATAGGTGGTATGAGTGGTTGTTTGTTTTTTCTTACTTTCTTTTTTTTGTCTTTTTTATTTTGATTTTTTGGGTTCCCGTTCGAATTCCACCATTGCCGTTTCGATCTTGCTGGGGGACAAAGGGGAGAAGGGAGGGGATCATCGGGAGCGGCACGGTTGCCCGGGCTTGATTCTGGCCCAGGCGCTGAGCGGCTGCAGTGGGTGGTTGTGGTGGTGGGTTACTTAGGATCTTTCGGGTTCACCTCCAAGGCTCCAGCGTCCTTAAGTCTTTGTGATCAAGAGAGAGCCGCCTCGAAGCCTCTCGCTGTCTCCGAATCAATGGAAAGGGATTGGCCAACAGCGATTGGCGGTCGAGTCTGAGTCTTTGGGCTCGATTCAAGAAACCCCTGCAAAGGTTGCATTCCGGTTGGTGAAATATCCAGACCAGGCAAACCACTCGGCCCCAAAAGTGGAAGGCCTTGCGATCACCTTAACCTAATATCAAGGCCTTTTCTGGCTCGCGGCGAGATTGAAGGGGGGCTGGCTGTATTCAGCCCCCCTCCCCCTCCCACAATCATGTACGGTTGCCGCTGAATGTTGGGCCCCATTGAGGGTAAATCTCTCAGATGGGTATTGTACCGAGTAAGTTGCTGCTGCTTCACGCTCTTCCGACTTGACTTGAGATAACTACGACAGTCAATCTGTCTAACTGGCAGGATACAAAGCAAATGTTGTGGAAATACTGCGGGCGGGCGACAATGATGATTTACCAAAAATGGAAGGCACGGAGCGGCCGACCGATGAGCCGCCGATGGCAGGTACGCCTTACCGAATAAGGCAAAGTGCTCAGTGCCCGCGGGCTCTAGGCTTTTCGAGGTAGTAGTACGTGACTTATACCCGTAGTGTACTGTACTAGGTAGATAAGTACGTAGGTGCCCTGGTCCAGTCACCGGAGGGGCTGAAAAGAAACAATGGAACCTGAAAGGGTACAGACGAGCCAGCCAATCATACATGTGAGCCAAGTAACCATCTGGCGGAAGGCTGCAAGACCCCACAACTCCCACCCCCCCCCGCCCTCGAGCTGTGGTCCACGGTACGTACCTTACTTCATTTACTTACTCAGTACGTATCTTACTAGGGTATACTAATCATATCTAACCTAGCAACTAACCGACGTAGGTAGGCTAGACTAGGTGGCAGCCTCAATTCATGGGCAATACGGATATACGTACTGTACGCTAGTCTAATTAGTAATTGCAACTGCGCGCACTAGCTATGGTAAATTTAATTAGCTGCTTCACCGGTCTGGCCCGAATAGTGGATTAGAGAAAACTACCTCACACAGTCCCTTTGTCCTGTCGCGCTCAGATTCAGGCTTCCTCCCTTGAAAAGGATGCTCCCTAAAGTAAAGTTATTTGATTTGTATCATTATCTGCGCTCTGCTTTATGATTCAATCTCACGAAAAAAAAAAAAAAAAAAAAAAAAAAAAGCCCTTAGAGGGGGGGGCCGCCTGGTGACAAAGAACGCCGCTAACCCCATGCCTCTATCTGCGTCCAAGGGTCATAACAAAAGAGACACTCTTTAAATGGTCCCCTCGAACTCTAGTCGAGCAACCCGCCCAAAGGACAAACCATCGAGACCCAGTCTAAGCAATCAATCAAGCAGGCTCTAGAACCAGAAGGCCTGAGAACACCACATAGCATTTGAAAACAAAAGTTGTAGAGCCGCTTGAAGTCCGGTTACCAATAATACATCATTGCAGTCGTTATAGGTTGTAACCACGAGAAGGTGAAGGGAAGAGGATATAAAGAAAGCCCAGCAGGGGAAAGAAATAATAGTCGCACGGTCATAGGAAAGGATACATGTGGGGAGAGCACGGGCCCGACTCGGGCGTGAGGGGCCCTGTCCCCAGCGAAGGCTCTGCTGGGGTCGACGGTGAGGAGTGACCATCGCTATGGGCTGAAGACAAGGGTGGCATCTGAGAGACAGAATTAGCACCATTAACCCTGGAGCTCTAGTACCGACATGTGTCGTGTAGAGAGAGGGGTATGTACAGGGATATTGGTCTCGGGCAGCTGTTGTGGTGTTGGACAAAGATCAATGCCCGCCATGGAGGCATAGCTCATACTGAACGGACTGACGATCTCATCATCGGCATACGAATGAGGCTTTTTGGATGGTCCAGTGGCTGATATGGCGACGGGAAGGATCGAAGGGAGGTGAGTACTGTATTCGTTGTGGTAGGGCAAATCATGGTAGCTGCTTCCAATCGAGTGATATGACGGCGGCTGACCGTAGCTCGAGTGACCATACGGGTCTAGATGCGA